TTTGGGGATCGGTAGTGTAAACAAATGCGGCGAGGATTTTGGGTTCTAAGCACTGAATCCGCGGTGAAGAGAGCTCCAAGGACCGGCTGGGATTGTAGGACAAGCCTGTGAAGCTGCCTCCTCCATTTGCTCCATTTGGATCCCTGCGTTGCAAATGTTTGCAAAGGACCTCATATGCTTGATACCGTACTGAGACAGCGATCCACAGTGCCTCTCAAAAGCTCTCACCTAAACATACAATTTATCCTCTAAATCAACATTAGTCAATGAGAAAAGAATTTGAAACTAGTCCTGCGCCACTAGTAGTATGGCCCAGATTTATGATGTTAATAATAGAGTGCTGGGCTCCACATGGGATTTTTCAGTGCTGGGCTCCACATGTATATAGATAAGATAGATTCTCTGAATCTCGTTACAGTGATGTGAAAGAGTTGATGATAAGATTGACAAGTAAATAAATAGTCTCAAGGGATAAAAAAGGAAGTGTATATTTACCAGATTTTTAAGGCACTTCCAGTCATCGACAAGCGGTTGCCCAGCAGACCGTACTTTGTTCAGCACTTCAGGACCTTCCGAAATGCCAAACAAGAGTTTCCCGACGAGTTTCACACTCTTGTCAACATGAAGTCTGTGAGACATGACTTCAAGGACTTGCTTCCGAGCTTCTGTTTTTCTTGCAGAACCTTCAGGTGCCTTTCGGTACTTTATGATTATAATAACATGCAAAAGAATTTGTATTAGGCAATTCAAGAAACTAACGAGTATCTAAAAGATGTAAAACAAGAATTGGAAAAAAGAACCTTATCCCAGAAATGGACAAGATCTGCATCACGTTGGTTTGTAACTCTTGAAAGTGGTGGTATCAGTGAATTCGCATCCACAAAGGTGAAATTGTCATTGGCAGGGTTTGTTCCCATGTAAAGATCGAGGCTATCCTTGCTAAGTCCTACATCGCCATATTGCATAACATGAGAACCGTAAACCGACCCAACACCTGAAGTCCTCCTTTTCACCTGAAAACACACGCGTTAGCTAGCAATCTTATTTACAGCAGAGAAAGTCCTGGCTCCATCATTACAGGCTTTCCAGAGAAACTAGAAGCTTACAAGTTCATATTGCTGGTGCAAGGTCTCGGTTTGTAGATTGTGGATGCCACTGTTAAATTTTAAACAGAGTATCGGGATCAATACATAGAGATTCCTAAACATGAGAAACAGAATACCGATTTAACGTATTGGGATTCTTTAGGTTACCTATCTTCCATCCAAGCAACACTGTATAAATCACCTAAACAAGTTTCATACTCCGGTGGAGGACTAGGTTCCTCTCCAGGGCAATAGGTACCCCAACTGCTTTCTTCTGCGTTTGATGCAGTTGTGGCGTATATGTTTAAACCCTCATCAAGAAGCCCTTCAAAGATACTTCCAGATTCACAAGCTTCAAGATAAAACACCTGCAAGTTTGCGTTTTTGGTATTACTCACTAAAAGTACCAACAACAGAAGCATTTCAGAGGAACCTTAACGATTTACCATGCTTTTATAGGTTCCGGAAGCATGTTTTTTCTTCAAGACATCGTTGAGATCATTTGCATATAGGTAAGGAGAAGTCGGCATCCCTGCAAATTAAAGACGAAAAACCATCAGTTTCTTTTGGTCCAAAACCATCCACTTACTGAGTTTTACGCAACTCACCGAGAACTCCAGGACCACCATGGTCGCTGTAGAATATGAAGATATGATCATTTGGACCGCTACCCACAACCTTCCCACTTCCCCCTTTAACAGCAGTTTTGTCTCCAAGGATCACAGCAAACAGATTTTCAACACTAACATCATCTCCAGTGTAATCCTGCCGTACAAAAAAGACCCAACCAATTAAGCATAAACCCAATTTGAATAGAGCTCAAAACCCGAAACAGATAAGAAAGCGAAAGACCTTGGGAACTCCTTCATAGACATCCTTTCCATGAGGACTGTTGATAATGATCCCTTTCCTTGGATTCTCTTCATTATTTGCAATATCATCATACATAAAAACCACAATATTCTCCTCCTTTAGTCCACCTTTCCTCAGAAGTTGATAAGCATGGCAAATATCAGCCTGAACAAGTTAAAAAAACTCATAAGTATCCAAACACCAACAACAAAAAAGAARACTCTTTTAAGAGTTTCACACTCTAAACTAACCTAAACTCATAAACCCTTTAAAACTTATATGCCAAAATCAACAAAACCTATCTTCCATTCGAAATCTGGGCAGAGTAAAATTCGAAATTCCCCTGATTTAGAGAGAAAAAGGAGCAAGATTTATCGATAAACGAGAGAATCGGGAACAATATTACCTGATGCCTATAATTCCAGTATCCGCTCGATCCGGCGACGAGAACAGCCCACCTAGTACCGGACGTGGAAGAATCGTCGTCGTTCTCAGCAGGACGGAAGAATCTAGAAGCTTCAGACGGAAGTTTGATGATATCCTCAGGGCTTTTTCTTACGGMGGAGACGGCGATCAGCGAGAGAAGGAGAACGAGAAGGGAAACGCCGGCGGCGAGAGGTGACATAATTCAGATTTGTTTTGAATATTTTAGCCGGCGAATAGTGACGTGGACTGGAATCTTTTGAACGCCGGGGCCTATTAAGTAATGAATCTTTTCTTTATCTGATTGACAGGAGAACAAACACGTCTATTTGTTTATATAAACACGCAAGCGAAATTTGGATATTTTAGTTAAAAAAATAGATAAATGTTTTAGATCAATTCAATTCTTTACTTTTAGCACTCGTTTTTTTTTTTACTTTGTGATTGGTTTGTTTTGATGGAAAACCATAAATAC